TATAAGCTTTAATAAAACTTGTTCTATGGGCTCTGTTGTATTTACAAGTAGTCTTCTTATTTATTTTTTACATTACTTTTTTTTACTTATTACTAGATCAAAAAGGTGTATTATTTTTAGCTTTACTGCCCGAATTATTTCCAGAAAGACAGGTTATTTATTTTTTTTCAATAGATCAGGTTAGTATAAGTAGCAGGTTATAGTAACTTAGAAATACAATGTAAAGTTTATTATTAAATTTTTCTAGTACAGTAGATCAAAAATTTTTACTATATTAGAAGTTCTTTTAATGTTGAAATTAATAAGATCCAGTAAGTCTAAAGAGTTTATCCTTTTTTAAATAATAAATATTCTTTAGCTGAAACATTAATTAAATCTTTAACCTGTCTTTCCTTTGTACCTTTTTCTTTCATTTTATAAATATCCTTATGTAAAATATTATATAATCGAACAAGACCATTTCTATAAAAATTGAACATTTATATATAACCATCTCAATTCATTTCCTGGGCATGCTTAAAAAGATCATGTTGAGTAGGATCAGAATGATAAAATGCGAAGGTATGTTCATCAACAAGCTGCCATAATGCTTCAGTATATTGGGTAACTTTACGTTTTTCTATATTAATCTGATTATATTCTACAAATTTATCGTACAACAATATCACTCTCTCGTATTCATCTTGGATTGCCATAATTTTTTGTTTAAGGTTAGCTAGGTCTGATAAACCAGAAGTAGCCAAATTTTGCTTGACAAATTTAACACCGTATTGCTTCAAGGCTTCATCAAAAGCTAAGTAGTAGTTTTCTCTAGTAATATTTACTGAAGCAACATGCTTGAATAGCTCTTATTGCTGTGGATAGCATGACACAGATTCTAAAAAGGTTATGACTGATAATGTATAAATATTTTTACTAGTAGCAGGAAATAAGAGTGCAAATGCTGCTAAGCTTTTTAATTGCATATCCACATTACCCAAATGAATATCTATATGATGGGCTTTCCAATACCTGGCTAAACAGTAAAACAAAAACCACACTTTTAAAATATTATTATTTTCTCTAAATATAGCTTCTACATCTAATGGCATATTGTTATTATTTAAATGAAGGTGAATTGCTATTTCAACAGCAGTGTGTATTAATTCCAATACTCTACAAGTTGCACGATAGTCTATATTTTGTTTTAGCTTGTCAAGAAATCAGACGCCAAGCTTTGCCGCCATGCTATAAAGACTATATCCACTAAATCTTGCATTCAAAGCACTACATATAGCCTTTGAAGTATGCCATTGCCCAAGAATAAATCTACAAGCTAAGTTGTTATTTTTATATGTTTTTGTTCTTGCAAAAATAGCCACATCACATGCTAAATCAATATCATCTTGTTCAAGATCTTCTAAATATGCATCGATTGACTTAAATATGGATTTATTACTATTAGGTTCTGGTTCAGGCTCTAATATAACAATGTTTAGTGAGTTTACTTAGTATCCTGATTCAACAATAGTAAGGATTTCATTATTAATTTCTTTAATTCCAAAATTTTTGTTATGCTTATTTATTAATTGTTTTATTATTATATCAAATTTTTCATCCTATTCAGACATAAATGCCAATTGACCAAATAGGTTTTCTTGAGATTGTAGATTTTCTTGAGTAAGAGATAATAAATTGAATGGAAGTTTAAATTGAAACACCATTCTAAGAGTAGCATGTGAAGATTGCTGGGTAATATCATATATATTCCCATACTTGAAAACTATATTCTTGAAGTCAATATTATCAATCACAGCAACAGTCCATATATTTGGACCTTTAATTAATTTTGTTAAAGAATTAGACTTATTTATGCATTCCTTTTCTAATTTTGTTTCGTGTTTTCAGGTATAGGATGTAATATGTACTGCATATAATATGGCTTGCAGAGAAGATATTAATTTAGACTTTTTATATAAAGAAGCCATAGTATAGGTAAGCCATATTTTTCATGAATGAAATGCTTTTGTCAAAATAATAGATGTAAGAAAAGATATAATTTTTTTTATAGAACCCATATTAAATTCAATTTCTTTTTTTCCCTGTTGCTTATTTTTTCTTTTTCTTACTTTATATTTTTATTTTTCAATAGATTCGATTAATCCATCAAAAAAGCTAGTAAGGATTAAAGAGAAACTATTATAATATTCATCTAATGAGGATGAATTTTCTAACTTAGTACGATTTTTTCAATATCTTTACAAGAATTACATATTGTATTTCCTAACATTTTTCCAAATTGATGGCTTTCTTCTACTTTTATAAGTTTTTTATCTGTAGACAAGTAATCATCGAACCTATTAATTTTTATGGCAATTTTTACAAGCAATGGGCTAGGTAAATTAAAATCTATATCCATTGAAGTTGATGATGATAATTCTGGGTTTTCTAATAATTTTATAAGAGGCTGCAATACCTCTTCTTTTTTATTCTCATTTTGAGAATATGAGAGATTAATTAACCAAGATGAAAAAAAGCCTTAAAATATGGTTAGTGTCTTCTGTATGCAGGTTATTCTCAACACATGTTTGAGGCTTTCCAGGTTCTAGAAGTTTATAAAAATATTCACCATGTTTTTCAAAGTATTTTGCATAGATATATCTAATATATCTGTCACTAATAGTAAATTTTAAGGCAATCTTTGGAATTATTCGAAATACGAGACAAGATTTTAAACCAAGATATGGGACTTGAATATCTTTCTCACATATATTCCAACAATAGTCTACACAATCATTACCTCTACTAAAAAATGTTTTATATTTATTGTATAATAAGCATTTTTTTTTTATTAACTACATCTTTAGTATAATTCCTTAATTGTTTAGTACCAGATGAATGAAGTTGTCCATGATTGAAGTTAAAATGATTAGAGCAGACTTCTAACTCAGTTAAGTTTAAAGATTTATCTGGAGTCAATTCTACTTCCTATATGTCAACTAATTGTGCTAATGATTTTAAAGAAACTGTTGAATTGCAATGCCTAATGGGTCCATTTAAATTATCAATAATAACACAAGGTGACAGTTTTGTTGCTTTAGTTTCTAGAATTTCTTCATAATCTGTAACATTATCATCATTATGCTCAAATAATGTATCTCCAATATTATTATCTTTGTCTTGGATTACTTGATTTTCTAACAAATTTCTTGCTTTTGTTGTGGCCAGATAATCATAAGTAAACATAAATTTATAATCATTTGGATCAGCATTTTAGTTTTCTTCTAGACTTTTGTATGTAGAATAATAGTTCATTGGGGTTAATAATATATTTTGTAAATAATGTGTTTATTTGTTTTTTGTAAGTAACAGGTTTATTTGTTAGGTAAAAGGCTTGAAGTGTCTTATTTATATATTTTTGAATTCTGATATTTGAAACATTTTAAGGAACTTTTAATAAAGATTTTTCAAAATGTACTTTAGAAATGGTTCAAATAATGAATATTTAAAGAGCTATTTTGAACAAGGCGTCTAAGACAAGGCATTCTATATAAGTGTTTCAGAGTATTTAAAAGTTTTTGTTTGGTATTTATTGAATAAAAGTTTTAACAAAGATATACTTTAGAAATGGTTTAAATAATGAGCATTTTAAAAAGATATTTTAAATAAGGTATTATCTAAAACAAGGAATTTTAGAAAAGTGTAATAAATTTAAAATTTTTATTTTTTCGATATTTTTCTTTTACATATTATGTTTTACATTTATCATATTAATTTTATCTTTTATTACTTTATATTTTTCAAATATGCACTAATTATTACTATGATTTCATTACGGTTTACAAATTTATTATAATTTTTATTTATTATATGTAAATAATGAAGTGTAACAATTGTAATTAATCAAATTAATGCGAATAAAAAAATTAAATTATAATAAAAAAAAAATTACATGAATCAAATGATAAATTAATATATTTTTTTTTCAATCTATAAAAATAACAGTCTAATTTTACGAAATACTTTTAAAACTTTTATAAATTTCAAATAGCTATTTACTGTAATTTAAGCATTTAAATGTGACGTATATTGAATTTTTATCCAAATTAGCAACTTCTTTATAAAATTCAAAAGCCTTCCTTTTATCTTTTTCAACTTCTATTTTCAAAGGCATGATTTATTCTCTTTGATATCGGTTCTCGAAAAATAATGTTACATATTTAGCTAAATTAACTTTAATCAAGAAACAGAATAAGTGACTGGTTAACAAATAAGCACAAACAAAAAGAAATTGATAAAAAGTAAAAAGATAAAAGAATACTATCCTTTTCATAGTTATGTCTAAAGTTCAGCAACTAGTAGAATTCATCCAAGACTAACCTTAACTTTCACAGCATAAATTGGCTAGAGATTCTTCACGTCTTGCTAAAGTATTTTGCAAATGGTAACCAAATCCTAGTAAAGAAACTTTGAAAAAGCATTACTTTAATAAAGCACCAGTTCGAAGTTAAAATTCATGCCAGAAACTTTGCTAGTTAGAGATCTTTAAGTTCCTAATAGAAATAGATTTTGAAAAGTTAGCAAACTTTGAGCTTGAGATTATTTTCCATTTATATATAAATCAGTTTCAAACTTGTACTATTCGATAGAGCAAAACCCGTAGAATAGCATTATTTAGTAAATATTTTTAATATCTTTCATGTGTCATGTGGTTTAATTAGGAGCAAATAAAATGTTTCTAAAATTTTCATAGTAAATTTTTAAAAATTGATCTACATTTTACAGAGAGACCTCTCTAAATGCACCCCCTCGGGACTGAGCCCAAGCTTGCATTTATAGAGGGTGTGCACTTAAAGAAATTTATTAAAAAATTGCTATAATATGTCTGTATAATCATTTTTTATTTAATTGTGTCAATATAAGATATACTGTAGTACCAGATACATATCAAATATAAGTAACAAAATATATATAGTAATGAAGGTATGTATGAGTATATCAAATACATATTAAGCAAAAATTTACATCCAATCATCTTGATCTGTTGATTGTGATACTTCATTAAAATATCGACTGATCGTGGATTGCTTCATCGAATCTTTTTTTTTTACATTGATAAATTTTTCAATAACACTAACTAGTTTTATACATTCGCTTGCACTTTCTTGCTGAAACAAGAAAGTGCGTATATTTTCTAGGCTTTTCAAAGCATCATTCGGACTTATGATTTCTTTTTCAACGCTATCGTCTACTTCTTCGGGATTACCTTCCATTTCACTAGATCTTTCTCCAAATGTTTCAACAAGGTCTGAAATAATTTGATCGTCGTCAGGTATTTCGTAAACAATATCTTCGTCGGGATTATTCAAATACTCTTCTACTCGCATAGGGTTTGAAAAATTAAGGCGTTCAATATTTTTAGAAAGTTCTTCATCTTCAAGCAAGACTTCATCTTCACTTTCTTCACTATCTGTATTATTATCCAAAATAGGAACAAGGTTAGTATGGCGCCAACAGTTTTTGATCGTTGTAGCTAAAACTTCATTCCAGCCTTGAATTATATATTTAATGGCTTGTAAAATATCCATCTTTAGGTCTTGAGCATTCATGCCATCTTCAACTTGTTCAAGCATCCATTGAATATGATAGCGACGATAATATCTTTTAAACGACATAATGATTCCGGCATCCATCGGTTGGATCTTTGAGGTTGTATTTTTAGGTAAGAGACAGATTTCTACATGCCGAAGAGTTAAACCCGTTGTTTTGTGACTTGAGCAGTTATCAAGAAATAATAAGACTTTTTGACCTTTATATTTTTTTGACATTAATGAATCAAAATCACGAAGCCATTCTTGAAAAATGCTCGTTATCATCCAAGCTTTAGCGCTATTTCGGTAAGTCATTTGCAAATTGGAAATTTTAACATTTTTAAAGCATCGTGGCCGTTGATATTTTCCAATAATCAAAGGATTTAACTTATGTGAACCATCTGAATTTGCACACAAAGCAACAGTAATTCGTTCTTTATTTTTTTTACGTCCAGAAAGACGTTGAGTAGCTAATGAATAATCGGGTTCCAACCGATAAAAAAGAGCAGTTTCATCCATATTATATATTCGTTCCGGAGGATAGTTGGCACTTTTGTTTCGTAATGATGGAAGAGATTGAATAATGGCTATATTATCAGCAGATTCTGCTTCACCATGAAGTTTTTCCCTATGAATTCCATTACGTTTCTTAAATTTGTGAAGCCAACCTGAGGAAAACTGCAACGTGCCTTCAGGTACTCCCAACCCACTAGCGAGTAATTTAGCTTTTTCAATTAACATTGCATCACTTAAAATTGTTCTATGTTGATAGGTTAGCACGAATTCATTAAGTGCAAGCTCAAGTGCCGGAATCGTGACAGCTCTATTTCTTTTTTTTTCGGGATTAATAATTTCAGTGGTAAGCCATTTATCCTTATTTTGCAAAATTCGTGTTATAGTTGATTCATGAACTCTAATATTCCACTTTGTTTCAATCCAATCTATGTATTTTGCACGAGTCATTTTGTTATCGCGAGCATAAATACAAAACTCGCGCTTTTGGGCATTATTAAGAGAGATTTTTTGTATAGAAGACATAAAATTTTAGGTTAATTGATAGTCACTGAATATTAAACAGGCAAAGTTATACGATTTTATCTTTACTTGAGTTGAGAAAGAAATGATCCTTTTAGGATCTATTTATTTATTATCCATTTACTTCAGTTACGAATTTTTTTTTATTAAAAAATAGACGAGCACTATTTTGAAAATTAAACGCCTTGAAAACATGCACGATTATACCTGATTAACTTTAAGCGAATCTAAGTTCAGCTTATAGAACATAATGTTTGAGAATGTTATCAAGCTTTTAGCAACCTGCTAAGGACTAGAAAACTTAACGAATTTGAAATTGGTCTTGATAGATATCAGGAAAGTTTAAAGAGTGGATATCGATTACCAGCTGCAGGAGGTGATTGTTTTAAATTTTATATTGATCATAATCGATTAAAAATAATTGATTACAATCGATTGTAATCAATATAAATCGATAGCATCACCCCTGCAGCTGGTAATCGATATCCACTTGTTGAAAATTTCTTGATGGAAAATAATCCGATCTCTAAAGTCATATGCGAATAGGCGTTATTTAATGAAGATAAAGGCATCATCGTGCCAAGGTTTAAAACAGGTATAATTTATTTATTTGGTTTATTTTTTTTTGAATAGAGCATTTATATCAATTTGGGTTGGTTTTATGTTGAAACTGAATTCAAGTCATAGCTTGAAATAATAACGCCCATGTAAAGGTTCTAAGAATCTACAGTAGCAAAATAAACATATATTGAAAAGGGAATATTCATGTGCATAGTGACTTTTTTATTAGAGATAGCGTAAGTGATCAGTTCTTTTCTTGTAATCGTTTACTTGATTTTCTATTGATGGCGTTAAAGCAATTAATAATAATAATACATTTCTTAAATTGTAATGCACTAATTATTGGCGATTTCCGGACTAAACTTGTTTTCATCTGCATTGTGATTTTTTTACTTGAATGAAAATAAGCGATTTGATGTAACGATAATTTTAGAATGATTAACCGAAAAAAGAAAAGTTCAGATTGCGCAATTATTTATGCATAGATCGTGTAATTTCTGTTACCGATGATTAGCAAATATTTTATGTTATAAAATCACGTGAAGTGCATTTAAAGGAATAACTTACATATATCGGGGCCAAACACATACTTGCACGAGCCTTGCACGTGCAGAATATAGAGGGTGCATTTAGGGTCTAAGTCCCAAGCTTGGGACCATGCTAAAGGGTGCATATAAAGAGGGAGTGCACTTATAGAGGGTGCATTTAGAGAGGTCTCTCTGTATAACTTTTTTTTTTTTTTTCATAATTCTGCTTTACTTTATTTAATCAAACTTATATAATTATACAATTATATTACAGTATATATAAACTAAAAAAATAGCTCAAAATACTGTTTTTTATACAAAAAAAGCTTATATAGTTGCTTTATTACCTGCAAATTTGCTGATCTTTAATGCTTATATACAATCTGTCTTAACAATATATTTACTTATTACAAAAACTAATACTTAAACCTGTCTAATAGATACTTTTATAAATCAATATACAGTAAGTTTATTATTAGTTTATCAACATTGCCTATTACTCTTTTTTTTTAAAACTTCTTCTACTTAAATTTGGGCAAAAAAATTGATTTTTTATTTCATACAAAAACAAAACCAAATACTATATTTACAAAAAAAAAAAAACAAATTTAAAAAAAAAAAATAAAAAAAATAAAAAAAACTATAAACTAAAACTTTAGAAAAAAAAAGAAATAAAAAGAAAAATAATCTTAAATACTATTTAATTATAAATAAAACAAGATAAAAAAGTATAAAAAAAAAAGAAATAAAACAAAAAAGATAGCACTATTATAACCTATATCAAGATTTAAAAAATTATATACTACTTTATAAAACAATATTTATATAGTTATATATAGTCACAACTCTTTCTGATAATTGCTTAAATCACATTTTCTAAAAAGCATTCTACTAAGAAAAAATACAATAAACTAGTGTAAAACCCAAAGAGTTTGAATATAAAATATGAGAAACAGAACCATAAAGTGGCAGCTATTATTTAGAGATAGTTCTCATATGCTACCTGCTAGAGTTTATCACTTACCATAAACACGACACTTGTTGTTTAGAGATAGTTCTCATATGCTACCTATTGACAAGTTTAGAGTTTATCACTTACCAAAAAGATTTAGTATTGCACAGGCTCTGGTAGATAGTTAATTTTAGTAGATGAAAACTTATACTTTTTTAAATGAACCAAGTGTATCTATAGTTTTCTCTTTTTTATCTCTTGTTGATTTTATCAAAATTTTTGAAAAAAGTGGGTATTTTGGCTTACCTTCTTCAAAAGATCAGCATTGTTTACATTTACCTAATTCAGTAAAATGCAACCATGTGTTTAGTTTGTTTATCAATATGGTGCTACAATATGAAGAAGAGACAGTATCTCTATTTAGAAAATACCTAACTTTAGTGAAGTGTTCAGAACGAGTTTCTAAAGATAAAATGAAACTTTACAATCAAGATATATTAAAAGTTGCAATTAGTATATAATTTTTTAGGCCTTGGCACAAGCATAAATATGCTATCAATACTGTTTTTACTTCTTTTTTGTTTTTCTTTTTTGAAATCTGTTTTTTTTTTTTTCTTTTTTTTTCTGTTTTTCTTTTTTCTTTTGCTTTTGTTTTTTA